AACACAGGAGCTTTTGGGGCACACCTCATAACCACACCATAATAGATGCCAATGCCAAGAAGCTTTTTCTCGATTGTTTCTTTTAGTAGTTTTATGATTTTTGGACTTATATTTAAGTATTTAATCCATTTTGAAATGAATATTTTTATATGACTTTTTTCTGTTTTAAAGTTTTTTTATTTTTTTCCTTTTTTAATTGGCAAATTATAGTTGTACATAATGATGGAATTGGTGCTTACATATTAATTACGTATTGCATACATGTATGCAATATAGCCATAATTTGGCCAATATCATTTCCTAGTATTTCCCTTTTCCTTCCTTCCGCACTTGCCCTGGTCCCTTTCCTCTACTCTACTGATCTCTTTGATTTTCAAGAGTCCCTCCCACTCAATCTCATCTTCCCCCCCCCCTTCCTTCTCTAGCTTTCACATATAATCCTTGCTTTTCTGAGTTTAGCTTATTTTGTTTTAACATAATGTTCTTAAATTCCATCCACTTTCCTACAAATGACATAATTTCATCCTTTTTCAAGGCTGAGTAAAATTCTATTCTGTATGTATACCACATTTTCTTTAATCATTCATTCATCTGGTTCCATAATTTGGCTATTGGGAATTGTGCTGCTATAAACATGGGTATGCATGCATCACAATAGTATGACGACTTTATTCTTTAAGATAAATCCCGAGGAGTGGGATAGCTAGGTCATATAGTTGTTCCATTCCTAGTTTTTTGAGGAACTGCCATACTGAATTCCATAGTGGTTGTACTAATTTACAGTCCCACCAACAGTGTAAAAGGGTTCCTTTTCCTCCATATCCTCCTAGGCATTTATTATTATTTGTATGCTTGATGCTGCCATTCTAACTGAAGCCAGATGAAATCTCAAGAGTAGTTTTGATTTGCATTTCCCTAATTGCTAAAGATATTTAATAGTTTTTCATATATTTGTTGGACATTTGTGGGTTCTTTATTTTTTTTCTTTTCTTTCTTTCTTTCTTTTTTATTTTGTGAAATAACTTTTTAGATATTTTGCCCATTTATTAATTGGGTTATTTGGACTTTTGAGTTAAGTTTTTTGAGTTTGTTATATATTCTGGATATTAATCCTCTGACAGAGTAGAGTAGCTAGCAAAGATTTTCTCCCATTCTGTAGGGTATCTGTTCACATTCTTGTTTCCTTTGCTGTGCAGAAGTTTTTTAATTTGAAGTCATTCCATTTATTAACTCCTGGCATTATTTCCTGAGCTTTAGAGGGAAAGTTATTGCCTGCCTTGAAATGTTGAATCTACATTTTCCTTTAAGATTTGCACAATTTCTGGTCTAATTCCTAGGGTTTTGATCCATTTTGAGTAGCCTTTTGTGAAGGATGACAGTCAAGGTTCTAGTCTCATTCTTCTACATATGGATAACCAGTTTACCCAGCATGATATGTTAAAAAGGCTATCTTTTGTCCAATATATTTTTGGTCCCTTTGTCAAGGATCAGATGACTGTAGATATTTGTCTTCTATTCTGTACCATTGGCCTGTGTGTCTGTTGTTTTGTCAGTACCATGCAGTTTTTGTTATTATAGCTTCAAAGTATAATTTGAAGTCAGGTATTATGCTTTTTCAGGTTAGAATTGTTTTGGCGATTCTGGGTCTTTTACTCTTGGGATGAATTTTAGGACTGTTTGTTCTAGTTCTGTGAAGAATATCATTTGTTTTTTTAAGGGAATTGCACTGAATCTGTATGTTGCCTTTGGTAATATAGCCATTTTAACAATATTAATTCTGCCTATCTACAATCATGGGAGGTCTTTCTATCTTCTTGAATCTTCTTCAATTTCTTTCTTCAGTGTTCTACGGTTTTCATTGTAGAGGTCTTTCACTTCCTCGGTTAGATCTATTCCTAGGCTTTCTTAGGTTATGTGAATGGGACTGCTTCCTAATTTCTTTCTCAGAAGATTCATAGACAGGAAAGTTATTGATTTTTGTATGTTGATTTTGTAACTTGCCATTTTGCTGAATTTGTTTATCAGCTCTAGCAATCTTCTGGTGGAGCTTTTTGGATATTCTAGGTATAGGATCATATCCTCTGCAAACAGTGATAATTTTACTTCTTCCTATCCTATTTTTATCCCTTTTATTTCCCTCTCTTGCCCAATTGCTTGGCTAGAATTTCTAGTACTATATTGAATACGAGTGGTGAAAGTGGACATTCTTGTCTTGTTCGAATTTCCCCAATCACAATAATGATGGCTTTGGGTTTGTTATGCATAGCTTTTACAATGTTGAGATAAATCCTTCTATGGTTAGTTTCTGAGATAAATCCTTCTATGGTTAGTTTCTTCAGTGTTTTTATCAGGAACGGCTGTTGAAATTTGTTGAAGGTTTCTCTGTGTCTATCCAGTTAACTCTGTGATTTTTGTTTTAATCTACTCATGTAGTGAATTGCATTTATTGATTTGAGTATGTTAAATCATCCTTGCAACCCTGGGATAAAACCCACCTGCATGATGTACCATCTTCTTATTTTGTTGAAGGCAATTGCTGATATTTTATTAAGAAGTTTTTACATGTAAGTTCATCAGGGATATTGGTCTGTAGTGTCCTAAAGTGTCCTTATCTATTTTTGGTATGAGAGTGATATGGACTTCATAGAATGAATTTGGAAGTATTCTATACTTTCTATTTCATGAAATAATTATCATAATTATAAATTATATCAATTTTTTTTGTATTTGCTAAGACTTGCTTTGTGGCCTAGAATACGGTCTATTTGGGAGAAGGTTCCATGAACAGCTGAGAAGAAAGTGAATTCAGCTGTTGAATGAAATATTCTATAGATGTCTGTTAAGTCCATTTGATTTATAATATTTGTAAATTGTAGTCTTTACTGAGCTCATGGAAGACATGATTCTCCAGCTTTCAGATGGAAGTTTATGGGACTTCTTGGCCTGCATAAATATGTGAGCCAATTCCTGTATCCTATAGATCAAGATCTGCTTCTCTGGAGTACCCTGCCTAATGCATCTTGTTTTAATTCGAATATTATTACTTTAATCTCTACAAGATGGTATGCATTTATTCATTTGTTCATTTTCTCTCCTCTTCTGAAGAACGAATACTCTGTGAGAACAAGGACTTTGTTTAATTAGTACAGAAATTACCAGCACCTAGAAAGAACAGAGTATAAAGTAGATGCTCAATAATTATTTGCAAATGAATTAACAAAGGAAGAGGAAGATTTTTTAAATTATAAGATTTATTAGCATACTATAGCATTTCCCTTACATTTTTAATAATGAAAATGCTTCATCTCCTTTTACAAAAAAATGTGAATTTGTCTCTGTGAGATAGAATTCTTCCTTCCCAAAAAGTTCTAGTTCACATTTTCCTGGTTGAAAAGAATTTATTACATTTTTTGAAATTAAAATACATGCCTTTCCCATCACATCCCCAGTCCCCTTTATTTTTTGAGACAGAGTCTCTCTAAGTTGCTTAGGGCCTGGCTAAGTTGCTGAGACTGGCTTTGAACTCATGATCCTCCTGCCTCAGCCTCCCAAGTTGCTGGGATTACAGGCATGTGCCACTGTGCCAGCAGGAATCTACTACTCTTCAAATAATCTAGCATAATATCCACTACATTGCTATTATAATAAAATTATGTCATATAAAAGAAAATAGCTTAAAACAAGATCTCTTGATATGATTATTATTAAGTCCCCAGTATAGGAAGCTTTGCCATAGAAACAATAGCCATAACTAAGGATTCTCACCTTAAGATGTTTAAAGTCTTTTTAGGAAGCAAGATGGGCGAACTTGAAATTAAATAGCAATTCAGGACAATACATAGGAACTATCTATATAAATCTATCCTGAATAAGCTACCTTTGCAAGTTTAGTCCCTTTCTCAGACTAACCTTGGGATTTACTGATTCGAACTGGGAGGACAAAAACCAACAACGAGGCTACCCGAGTGGCAGCGAAAGTCAAGAGGAGGTTGAAGGCCATGAATACTTCTACGTGGTTAACATTGCTTTCCCTAGGAATGCACCTAAAGCTTTTCTTTACTGACAGAGCAAACAGAATGTTGTATTTACACAAGAAGAAATTCATGGTCTAGGTACAGAGAGTGAGCTGATCCAGGATATTAAGAGACCATTGAGATTGTCCATTTAGGAGTCCAGAGAGGACAAAAAGCATGTTTTGCTAGGGTGGTGGTGGAAGGTTCCAGAAAGAATAGAGAAGTGAGGAACCAGTCTGAAAAGTGTGAAAAAACACAGAAAGGTAGAAGGATGCAGAGATTTTGGAGTGAAGCTCTGCTGTCAGAGAAGTGTGAGCATGATCATGAGTGGAAGGAGAAAGAGGCAGTGGCTGGATTTACTGACTTCCGAGAATGGAGCGAGGACACAATCAAAAGGGTGTTAGTCTAGACACTGACGTCACTGAGGAAAGCTGCCGTTCAAATGAAGCCTGTGATATTAACCGTCCCAGAAGCCCTCCATCTAATGAGAGGGTCCCACTGGACAGTATTCACATGAGCCTCTTCATACCTGACCACGATTACCACGACGCCCGTCCCTCTAGGCCTCTAACTTAAACATTACGCAGGTGAGACGCCCAGCGGGGTCGCCCTGGTTACTGAGGGAACTCTGCGGGGCACAGCAGGGCACATCCGGGTACCGCCAGGCCCCTGACCCCTGACCCTCAACCCCCAGGAACACGCCACCGCCGCCATTGCCAGGCTCCACAGCCGCCATTACCCGCTTGCCTTCCGCAGAGGTCAGACCCGCCCAGGCCCCGGCACCGCCCCCCCCCGCCACTGCCCCAGGTGCCGCCCTCAGACACCCTGGAAGCGCCCCGGGGACCCCGCGGCCGCTACCGCGGCGGCCACCGCCGCCGCTGCCCACTGCGCGGCCCCAGAGCCCGCTCCGCCCTCGCCTTCATGGTGGCACCCCTCCTGCCCGCGCCCGTCATGGTGCCCATCATGGTGCCCATCATGGTGCCCATCATGGTGTGGCAGGTGCGCCACAACTACCACCCCGACTGCGAGGCCGCCGTCAACAGCCAGATCCAGGTGCAGCTGCACGCCTCCTACGTCTACCTGTCCTTGGCCTTCTTCTGCCACCGCCCACAAGTGGCCCTGGAGCACTTCGGCAACTTCTTCCTGCGCCTGTCGCACGAGTGGAGGGACCGCGCCGAGAAGCTGATGGAGCTGCAGAACCAGCGCGGAGGCCACATCCGGCTCCACGACGTGGAGCAGCCCCAGCGCAATGCCTGGCACAGCGGCCTTCAGGCCATGGAGTGCGCCTTCCACCTGGAGAAGAGCCTCAACCGGGGCCTCCTGGAGCTGCACCACCTGGCCGCCGAGAGGGGCGACCCCCACCTCTGCCAGTTCCTGCGGCGCCACTATCTGCACCAGCAGGTCCTCATCATCCGCGAGCTGGCCGGCTACCTGACCAACCTGCGCAGGATTCGGGCCCTGGAAGACCCCATGGCCGAGATCCTCTTTGACAGGCTCACCCTGGGCCGCAGCTACAAGGATGACTGAGCAGAACTGTGCCCAGCCCATGCCACCCCCCGGGTGGGTCCCCAGGCCAGGCCTACACGTTGCCCTTTCAGCAAGTTCCCTTCAGTTTGGGCCTTTCAGTTTGATTGTTACTTCCAATAAAGTTATTTATTTGGTTTTTAATGAAATAAAGGTTTTCAGTTGGGATGTGTGTGTATGAGGGAAACTCTCGACTTTTCAAGGGTAGGTCTCCCTGTAGGTTTATAATGGGGATTCAGGAATCTCTTCACTCACCCATGCCTTATTTGCAGGTAGCTAAGGATATCAGCTTATCATGGACTCCTTCTCACTCTGCGCGCGCGCGCGCACACACACACACACACACACACACACTCACACACCGGTGGTGAGAAAGTGAGGGCTTGCAATGCCCTCTTAAAAGGATGAGGACTCCACCCTTATGACCACATTTAACTTTACTTAATTAGCTTCTTAGAGGACTTAACTCCTATTATAGTCACATTCCCAGTTGGTAATTCAGTATATGAATTTAATTTTTTTTAAATTTTTTTATTGGTTGTTCAAAACATTACAAAGCTCTTGACATATCATATTTCATACATTAGATTCAAGTTAGTCAGTATATGAATTTAAGATGAGGGGGATACTAATATTTAGTCTTTGCTGATGGGTCTTTTAATATGAATTGAGAAATGCACTTAAAGTTCAGTAAATTTATAAGACTGCCTTGCTTTTACTCCCTGGGCACACAAGTCCTCTTTTGCAGCCAAGCACAAGTTGCTAGCTAGGGCGTTGTATGATCTTTTCCTGAGACTGGACATAGCCTTCCATAATAGTTGGGATACTTGGGATCTCTTTAAAGTCCACTAATATCCTTTTTGTTACATCGCTGTTAAACTGGCGCACACCTGTAATCCCAGCAGCTCGCAAGGCTGGGACAGGAGGACTGCGAGTTCAAAGCCAGCCTCAGTAAAAAGCTAGGTGCTAAGCAACTCAGTGAGACCCTATCTCTAAATAAAATACAAAATAGGGCTGGGGGTGTGGCTCAGTGGTTGAGTGCCTCTGACTTCAATCCCTGGTACCCCCCCATCCCACAAAAAATGTGACTGATTTTCCTGTCTGTAGGTTACCTTAACCCATATTGCAATTCCAATTTAGCTGTGATGTTGGTCTTCCTCAATTTTTGCCATTGTGATAGTTACTGTTTTCGACAACATTCACCTTAGATTTCTCTGCTCTCTAAAACCACTCCTCTCCTCGCCCAGAGTATTAGTCCTCATAGCCTGCTGTATTCTAGTAGAGCTACTATAGCAGAGCTAGTGGTGGGGAGGCAGAATGGGAACATCTTAGGCTAAAAATGCCACAAAGTGCCACTGGTTTTCTTAAACATGTTCAATTTGTTACATACCATTTGTCAACTAACAGAGTACTGAAATGGTTCTTTTGGACAATTTTGTCCAGTTTGGTCATTGCTTTTTTGAAAGAAATTCTGACATATTCACTTGGCCATGCTGAAAATCTGTTTTATAAATGGCTGTACTTATGAATTGTGGAGGAATGGAAACTGAGGGCTTACTATTAGTATAATTGTATAACATTTAATTGATTCTAATTTGGATACTTAAAAAAATACTTGGCAAGAAGTCTATATTTTCTATTATATGAAATACACATGTCCATAATTAAGTAAAATTTAGATTCATTGCTATATTAGTCATTTAAAAGTAAGCACCTGTTTTTGCATTCATTAAATATGTTCCTCAGTAAAGGAAAAGTTTAAAATTTCTTTGGAAAACATAGAATTTTAAAACATCTTGAAGTGTCTGTAGTGTGATTTTAAATCCCATGGAGGTTAGAAGCAGCATAGTTAGATATGATCAATGCACGATGTTGCAATATGGAAATACCCTAGTTAATCCCATTAATATGTAAAATTATCATGTCAATAATTATGAATTTTTTGAAGTTTATAGAGATTTTATAACCCTTTCATATGAACAGGGATTAAATTCTGGCAGCAATATTTATAACTTCAAACTAGGAAGATGTTTTTATTGAAATATGACTTAAAATTTAATTGTATGCAAAAGTAAAAAGAATTCCAGGAGTGTACACATGGTTGTTTCCTTATTTCTTGGACAGAATATCTTGGTTCATGTGCAATATCTCTATATATCACAGAGAAAAATTTTGTTTTTCTGAAGAACAGTGGATTGGGGTTAGATATGTCACACTATAAATAAGGTAATTGAATTTGCACACAATTATGGAATGGATTTGGATCAAGTTTATCAATGTTGTTTTGTCACCTTTTCATACAAGTCAGGGTTCTTTGGGTTTACATTATTAGATCTACTAGAGTTCTATTTAAATTTTATTTATTTAGCAAAAAATCTAAAGGAAAACAAAAGGAGTCTGAATTTAGATTGAGTTGATGCTGTCCAATGGCAGAATTCTTTAGCATATCCACTTAGAGTAATGAATATAAGTAGTGGTATCATTATTACTATACTAAAACACCCATGCTTGGCAGGAATGTGCTGAAATCCAAATATAACATGGTAAATTATGTCACTGTTCCTGCCCAGGACAACTGCTACTTGAAAGACACACACACATGATGAGGAAGCTAGCAGATGCGGTACTTGTGAGTTAAGTGTTACTTCACTGCTGACTTACACAAAGAGGTTTAGGAGGTTGCTTGTGTTGTCTGAAGAGCATCTGGCAGTTTCCACCTTGTATAGTAACTAACCTCATGGGGTTTTCATTCCATTTTAATGCTTATTAGTGTACCTTTTAAGTTTTCCTCACAGGAGAAAAAGCCAATTCCAGATTAATTAATGCTACCCATGAGCTAATGGATTTTTGAAGAAATTAAACCAGGCAACACAGAGTGTTGGTTGCACATTTGAAGAAGCTAGAGAAGCTTTTGAAATTAATGAAAAAATGAGTATTGGCAATTTAAAAATTCTCAAAGAATTGTTTACATTTTTATGTATGTTTGAAATCTGCATTCCAAAGGTGTTTGCATTGTTGTCAATTAAAAATTACTTTTTCAAGGAAGTCTAAAAGTAGCATCTATCTAATAATATTCCCTGCATGGGAAAGCTAAGTTTACTTCCCTATGCATTGATGTGTTGCCACAGCACTCTGCTGAGAGCTAAGATTCATCATCTTGGCAGGAGAGAAGCATTTAGTTCAGATAAGGTTTTGATATAGAAAGTTAATAATATCCTTACTTTCATTCAAAGAGAAAGGGTGGAGGAAGCTAATGAAAGCTGATACTGTTTTTAAATGTTTTCCCTTTGAAACAAAATAAAGCCATATGTGGACTTCCCTGCCCATTCCATAAGACTACTCCTCTTCACCAGTCTTTACTATGAGCTACATACAAGTAAAGGAGACCAGGGATGGGAAAGCACAAGGCAGAGGTACAAATTCCATAGAACTGTTTTGTGGTTGGAAATTACCAGAAGTAGGCATTGAATAAAAATCCAGCCCCGTGCACCATGAAAATACTAGATGCTAAATGAGTGATACCAGGTGTACTAGAAGGCAAATATGTTTTATGTCTCACTAACATTACTTCATGTGATTTTGTGTATGTGCATAAATATGTCTATGTGTGTTTTTAACATAGCTGGCTATGTGTTAAAGTAGCCATAATCCTAGAAAGATCATGAGCTACTATATACTCTAAGTAGAATTAAGTATCACTTGTAAATGTGATCTAAATATTATTTAGAACCTTCACTATCTATACCAAATATCATGGAATGTTCAGAGTAAAATGTGACTCATATATTTAAAACAAGCTCTGATTCTTCACATTGTGTGTTTTTTTAAAGGAATATAAAATACCTTATATAAATGAATGATATTTTTAATTAAAATAATTTAAAACTTAAAGTTTTAAAGATTTTTTTCTACTATTTTGCTTTATAATATTGAAACTACTTAATATTTTAAAGATAGGACAGAAAGTCCTTTACACATATTCACCAATTTTAACATTTTGTCAGTTTTCTTCTCATTTGCACACAAATACATCTTTCCCTACCATTTGGAAATAAGTTGAACATGTCAAAAGAAAAAGATATTATTTTACTTAACCACTATCAATTACCCAAATCAGGTAATTTAACATTAATGCAACATTATTTAGTTATACAATATTATCTAATCTCTATTTGATATGGACAATCATTTCAATGATACCCTTTATAGCATTTTGTTTTCACTCCACTCCGAGATGCTATTGAGGCATCAAATCTGATCTGAGATCTGCCCAAATGGGGAACCTACTGCAGCTTCTCTTGCTAGCTAAATAAGCTGTAAAGTTCCAGGCATCTGTGAATAGTTCTTGGAAAAGAGGAAGGTCTGGCTAGAGAGGTGAGGCACTCAGGATTGGGGAGAATGAAGGTGAACTCATAATCAACGACCACAAAGGAAAGTAAACCTGTCCTCTCCGGCTCTCCATATCTCTGAAAAGTATAAGGAAATAAAATCAAACCAAATCTCATTCGGGAATACCTAGATGAACTGTAGTCAAACAGCCAGAAACGCGGGCTCTAACAGGTAACTAAGGGAATTACTCTTTGAAACAGTAGAGAACAGAGCGTGGGAAAAACTGAACAGGGAACCCACACATCTTGGGAGTTGGGCGTTTTAGCCCGTTTCTTTTTTAACGGGGGTGTGGAAGGAGTTGCATTTTTTTACACAGCCACATGGTTCTCGCCTTAAACGATAACAATTACCCAAAATAGCATACCTGTTACTCCAGAGCGGGAGGAATGGCCACGGGAGGAGGGAGAGGGCGTGGGACGCCGCTTTAGGCTAGGCGACCTGGAGCCGGGCGGGGAGAGGGGTGCATGCAGGGACGCGTCTGGAGGCCGAGGCTCCACGAAGGGCCGGGACAGGGGGAAACGACGGGAGCGGGGACCCGGAGAGGTGGGGAGGGGCGGTGGCCGTCGGGGCATTGGGGCGCGGGACAGTCCGGGGAGGGAGGCAGGGGTCGCGGC